GCTTCTTGTTTTCTCACTGTGCTCCTCTTTAAAGTTCAGATCCATTAAAAACCTTTCAAGAGAGATCTTAATGTAACTTAAGCTACCAGAAACTATCATAAGGTAAAAGTCATTTTCAGCTGCTTAGAGAAAAAGTGAAAAATCAAAAGTGAAACTAGATAGGAAATCCTATGACAGATGCTGCAGCTCCCATTGACTTCAATAGGATGACGGGACTTCAGGGCGGTTCTTTATGGTGACTGAAAATTAGCCTCTAGTCATTCTCTAACTTGTTCCTTCCTCAAAGTAGTACAGAGCAGGAGTGTGAACCCAGAAAGTGGATGTACCAGAGTCCCAATATGGAAGTATAGTGCTTAGTGATGTGTTTCGCTCTTTGGTTTGTACTCTTTACTTTTTCCTGTAATAAATGAAATTCAAAAAGAAAGATTCCCATTTGACTGCAACAGATATTAGATCAGGCACCTGAGTAGATCAGGTTCTCCTGTTTCTGTGCTTTTTTCATCAGCGTTCATCATACCTATATATACACACATAAAATCTGTGCTAGGGTCTTCCAAGAGAAGAAGGTCTTGCTTGGATAACCTTTTTCTTTAGGAAAATGTGCAGCTTCTGCTTTTCTTACAATCAGTACAAATTCTCTACCAGTACTTTCCTTCTAACTTTGTCAAATAAGTCAATAAAAGCCAGTGGAACAGATTCTGATCATCAAATGACAGAGTAAATGCAAAGTAATTGCACTAAAGCCTACTCTAGTCCAGAATATCAGAAATTGTGTTTTAATGTAAGAAATCATGTTTTGTGGCCTACAATCAAAGATAATGTTTTGGCTGTAACATGTTCATTCTCAGTACTCATTCCCCACAGTTATCCCACACGAGGTCAGTATAACAGAACTAAACCTTTTCATAGATCACTTGTCTTTTCAGGTTTTATTACCCCACTTTTTTCCAAATTCTAGACATAAATAACAGCTTCCCATACAACATTCAGCAAAGTCATCCAGCAGAGTCAAAATCCGGTTTCAGTCTTTGAGGTAAATTTCTTGAGGCATAACTACTCTCCACTGGAGCAGAGGATTATATAAGAGATGTTTGGGGTTTTTTTTGGAGTTTGGGGATGTGTTGTAGGGCATGGAAAGGGTTGACTTGTCGCACTGATAATTTCTGATAGAGGATTTTGGAAGACTGGGCTAGCTGAGTACTCAAGACAAGAGAAGAAGTGCTTTGAGAAATAGATGTAGGATCGTGACAAAAGTTAGGAGAAAAAAAGATGAGGATAGCAGCCACAGCTCTTCCTATCCTTTCTCTAACCTTGCTCCTGATGCATTATCTCAGCTTTTCTTTGGAAAGATCATCTCCAAGAAGGAAAGGAGAAGCACCGCTCTAGAGGGAAGAACAAGCTTATTAACATAAAGTACATGTTCTGGGACTACTTTCTATGTCAACTTCTTCCGTATTTTTCATCAATGGCTGTATACATATGGATTAGCAATCACCTCAAAATGTGGACTGGTTTGTCCTTTAACCTTCTAACATTTTGGTTTTGAGAGTGCTGGCTGATTGGACTGCATCCAGCCTCTCCTTTTATCCCTCTTCTCCTGAAATATAGGCACAATTTTTTGATATATTTTCTTTCTAATTAATAGTCACAACCATTGTTGTCTGTAGTTGCTCTCACACCACAGACACCAGTAAATTGTGTTCACACTTCACTGTCTCTAACCTGCTGTCACTAAACACAGGTACTACTTAATCATCCTGGTTTTGTTGGGGTTTTCTCTTCTCTGTCTCCTGTCTAGTGCCACAGAGGTTATATTTCTCTGTCTTTCCCTGACATCACTGCTGAGGGTCAGCTGTGCAAGACAAAAGATCGCATCTTTCTCTTCCCAAACTTTGTAGATCTTCCTGTCTTAAGGGGGAAATCAAGAAATAACCAAGAAAGTCCAACATCCCTTAGAGAGTAGGTATAAGAACAAAGGAAGGCCAGACTCCCTTTTTAGCACTAGCCATGCATATTTTTTGCTCACAGGCAGAGGGGATGTAAGTAGAAGATGGGCCACAAACTGTGTGAGAAACCTGTTTGATCCAGTGAAATGTGTGTGCTGGGAAAGTCTCATATATTCTCGTAATTTTTATAGCCTGGACCACTTGATAACTACACATTGACTGGCAGTTTGCTTTGTTTTCATTCAATAGGGGATATTTTAATGATTCTGAGACTTGTAAGGAATGCAGTGGATCCTGTAAGACATGCATGGGAAGTGCAACCAAATGCCTGTCCTGTAAAAGTCCTTTGCTTCTGGAGCAGTGGAAATGTAAACCTGCCTGTACAGAGAAGCATTTTGCCTCTGAAGGAATCTGCAAACACTGCCCTGAAATGTGTCAGGAGTGTATTCACAATGAAACATGCAAAGGTATTATAAAGAACTGGTCCTGACTTGGCTAAAATCCATCTGGGTCTGTCTAGAGACAGACTGTCAGAAACACAGATCCAAAAACAAATGCTATAATGAGCAAAAGTGTAAAAGAGATGTGTATATCATTGTTAATATCTAAGATAGAGGCTAAGCAATCAAGTGCTTTATGATGAGACTCATCAAAACTGTTAATCTGTAATCATTTCACATTGCTTTGCCTGTTCCTGTTGTCCTTCAGAGATTCCCACTAGTTTGATTCTATTTCTGAGCTGGTGTATTCACCTGCATACACATTTACACCAATGTGAAATACAGAATGTTTCTTTCCTAGTTTGGTTGAACTTTACATCTCTTTACCATTTTTGCAAATGACTACTCATGGTAAAGGATGAAATCTCTGTAATGAAACGTATTAGGAAAGACTGGGATATCCTGGCGAGTCTGAATGGCCCCACAAGAATTTCCAGGATAGTTAAGCAAAACATCCTGGAAATGTAAACATGGAAGAAATGGGGAAAAAAAATAAATAAACAAAGCTATTAAACCAAGTGCCCACAATAAAATTAGGAGCTGAATCCCAGCTCTATGCAAAGACGAATATTCAGGTCCATATATTCCAGCCAGACTTATATTTTAATAATAAACCAAAAAAACCTTCAAATCTGTACACCCCTGATTTCACAGGAAGTTCATAATGCAGATATAATATCTCAGCAGAAGTCCACCTGTATTCAATGGCAGCATGGTTTGGTTAGTATCAGCAAAGCACAGGTGACTTAGCTTCTCAGTCTCTTGATGTAATACAGAAAATGCCGTGTGAGGGTTGGGCCATTATGGACATTTTGGAGGTGAAAGAGTCAAAGAAAAGCACTGCCTTCCCAAGCTGTCCTCTTACCTCCTAACATGACAGGCAATGCAGGATTTATGGTCTCCTAGGATTTCTTCACTCCCTCATTTACAGAGGTCAGAATTCACTGACTGTTTGCTTACCTGTTGTTTGTTGTCCTCTGTAGAGTGCGTGGACAACTTCTTCCTACATGAGGGGAAGTGTGTGCCGGACTGCCCTTCACACTTCTATGCTGAAGACAAGCATTGCTTTCCCTGCCAAGCCAACTGCAAGGATTGTGATGGGCCAGACTTGGACGACTGCACTGAGTGCACCATCGACTTCTTTGTCCTCTACAATGGCATGTGTTTTGAAGAGTGCCCTGAAGGGACTTACTATGAAGAAGACACTGCAGACTGTCAAGGTTGGCAGCTGTCGTTTTCCCCAGAACGGTATTGAGATAAAAGTGGGTCTGACTGAAGACTATCCCAAAAGAGCGTGTGTGTACCACCTTAATGTCGCTACCAGTGTCCTGGAAACGGAGGAGACAGCTAATGCAGAAAAATAACGAGGCATAGCTTAGAACAGTGAAAGTTGGAGAAAGCTGAGAGGGAGGTAGCAAAGCTAGATGTGTTTAGTATTACAAGGCAACCACTCTGGTAAAGTGCTGAGTATTGCTGGAGACAGTATGTTGAAAACCACTGCTCAGCAAAAGCAGTGCCAGTGAAAAAGGAAACCTAAGGAACTGCCTATATAAGATTGAAAATAATAAAATGTTTGACTATGCAGAAGCAGAACTATCACCGTTTCCTGCAGCCTCTCATCCTGACATGATGGCTGCTCCTTGCAAAATTGAAACTGAAATAGTGATTGCAAATACAACAAGAAATTGTGACATTCCTACTGTTTGCCCATTTCAGCGTGCAACAGGACATGCCAGACTTGTTCTTCTTCCACTGCCTGCCTTACTTGCAGAAATGGCCTGATGCTGAACCATGATGGGCACTGTGTGGCATCTGGATACTGCTCTCGCACCGAGTACTACATTGAGAAAACTCAGACCTGCAAGCCTTGTCATAAGAAATGCTTCCACTGCTCAGGACCCACTGAACATCAGTGCCTCAGCTGTGCAAATAACCACTATCTTCTCAGTAAGTGTCTTGCTCCCGCCTCTAAGTTTTATTCTACACTGATAGCATGAAGTAGGCAAGTTTCTGTCACATTTATGAAACATCTAGGGCTGTTTCAGCCATTCTAAAAGTTGCAAAGCTGACCTGACAAGTAGATAACTTGTGCAGAGACAATTACTTCTGCAGGGCTACCTCAAAACGCCTTGTGAGACTAGGTTTGCCACTTACTGGGGCCAAAGCAGGACTTCTAAGTAGCAACAAATTCCATGGCTAAACAAAACTTGTATGTTTCATTTACTTAGTATGTACTGTTCCTGTTGTTTCCTACAAGGAACTTAAAAAGACAAGAGGCTTATCCTTAGCTTTTTCTTCTTTTTAATAAACGTGCTAAGAGCTCACATTTTCATGTTGGCTTGTTTAATCCCTGCAGAGATCTGATGAGCAAAGAAATACTTAAGCACAGCTGTTAAAAAGTTGTTCATGGATCACTAGATCAGTATGTAGTGGATGGCTGAGATGCAAAACTACTTTTCTGACTTTGATGCAAAAGACTATACTGTCTCAGAAACAAATTGATAAAAAGTATAAAATCCCAGAACTTAAAGTTTACTTCCTTGCATATTCTTTAAAAAGCAAACAAAAATTTTAGAAGATCATTGGGAGAAAATAATTACTAAAATGATCTTTCATGCAGGAAAAATCTAAAGAGAGTTTGAAATAAAACTGAACCTGAGCTTTTTGAGTCTAATTCTGATGAAGATTTTGCATTCTTAAATTTCTGGGGTCTTGCATCAGACCTGTCTTTTTTATCAACACACTCAGCTGCTTTGCACCATTACAACTGGTAAAGTTGATGGATGTAAATAAATATCTTGGAGTGGAGAAAGAATTGCAAGGAAAATAGAAATAAGAGGAAGTACCTTCCTTTGCCTAGTTGCAACCCAACCAGCAATAATATAAAGACAAGCTAGATAATAGGTACAAGTTACTGATGAATATTCACTGCTCTCTTAGCTTGATGTAGTTAGTTGCATCAATCCTAACTTCTCATTTGAGATTCCTAGTCTAATGACCCTCTGAAATCTTAGTGAAAAAGCAGGATGTATCTGGTACATTTGGCAGCATTACAAGCATTTATTCCCATAACATAAAGCAGCAGTCACAGACAGGGGCAAAGACCAATGAACAAATGTCATTAAATCTCAAATTTACAATCAGATTCACCATGTACACAGAATGCAGTGAGGTTGATGCTTAGAGTGAAATCAAAGAAAACAGCAATGCAGATAGAAATTTTCATAACTACTATTTCTTCTTTTGTATATTCTGAAAGAAATTGCAGCTGCTGTTCATTATTATGTATTATGCATTTATATTTCCCCGAAGTAAAAAATTATCCGTTCTGAAGAGCCTGCTAATGCACATAAAACGCAGAAATAAGGGTTAATGAACTGACAAGACTTAGAAGAAAAAAAAAAAATTACTATACCCCAGCATTCTCTTTTCTTGTGCTGGTGCATGCTCTAACAGCATCTCCAGTTAGAGAGTTTGCTCTAGCACAAGTGTATGAGATGTTTTATAGCAGCAAATACTGAACATGATGGGTTATTCTGTATTGTTTTCTGTGCAGATACAACCTGTGTTGAAACATGTCCAGATGGGTATTATGTTGACAGCGACAAGGGACAATGCTCCCCATGCCACAGCGCCTGTGTCACTTGCACTGGAAAACACAGCTCACAGTGCCTTTCCTGCAAACCGGGCTGGTACAGACAAGGAAAAGGATGTGTAAACCAGTGTCCAGCAGGGTAAGGTCCAACTAGAAGTTAGATCGCTCTGCCCTATTCTAATTCAGAGTGAAACAGAACTGAATTCTATTTTCAGGTGGAAAATTCTTATGTTGTCGCAGTACAGAGGTGGTGGAAAACCTCCCCTCACAGTAGAAAACTGTAAAGTTGGTGCCCAAATTAGGACAAGCTTGATGTGGTGTGGCCATCTTACACTCCAAGGATGCTCTTAGGTTATGTTTATACAGAACAGAGCAAAGCAGAATAAATATACTAAGTTATCTGTTAGTTGGCTTGAGCCCAGGAAGCAGTATATGCAGCCTCCGCTTTACCTGAAGTTCAGATGAGGTTATTTTTGTTTTACATTGAGGGATTGTTTACAAAGGATCATAACAAAGTGAACAATTAAAACACTTTTCAACTGAGGACTTGTAATTCTGGACACAACTTCATTAATATGAGTCCATTAAATTTCAAAATTTCAATTCAATGTGTTCTTGTGAATATGTCTCAGAAATTAAAATTTGGGAAGTGGACCTATGATTTCTGGTTCAGGTCCATTTCATTTTGTGGCATAGTACAATCACACTGGCTGTTAAATTAAGTTATCAACCTGTTAAAGTGAAAGTCTGTAATGGCTACATCTCAACAAAACCACAGTGCAGCAATTCTTCTTTCTCTGACAGCACAACGTGCATGAACACAGTTCCTTTGCTGGTATCCTTTGGCTAAGATTTTTGTGCACTGAAAGGAAATACGAAATTTCTGAATTTCCACCTGACATCAGGTCATCAGGAACAGTCAGGAATTCAGTGCTTACACAACATCTACAGGATATCTCTTGCAGAGCCAAAACAGAGTTGAGGTTTTCTGAGCCCTGCCTATTTATGTATTTATTTTGTGTCTGAGTTCACCCTAGATTTTAGAAAGCCTTGATTTATAGACCTTTAATTTATAAAGTCTTACTTTATAGCTGAATTCCAGTGGTCAGGGGGAATTAAAGGAAATTAATTCCATTTTCACTACAATTGCAAATGTTTACTGTGATCACATCAATATCACTTTTATACATTGATACACTTTTATACACAGTAAAAGCTAAGGGTGAAGGGTGTGTAAATTTGCCTGTTGCTGCTGGGCTTTATGCAAAGCCATGACTATTTGATCTTTTTCAGGTATTTTGCACAAAACTCCACTGGGTCATGTGAGAGATGCCACAAGGGTTGTAAGGAGTGTATGGGGCCTCAACCCACAGACTGCCTTTTCTGTGATATATATTTCTATCTTTTGCGCTCCAAGAACGAATGCATTAGCTCTTGTCCTGAATATTACTATGAAAACAAGGACAACAATGTCTGTGAAAGATGCCACCCTTCCTGCCGAACTTGTGAAGGTAAAAGCACACACTCCGCTTTGACCAAAAAAAGGGTTATCAAAACACCTGCCAAGGATTATCAAACCTGCCATCATTTTCTCTTTTTTTCACTCTCTGCTCCAAGATTTGGAAACACTTCACAAAGAGACATACCACGTACAATGCTACCAGCCTGTCCGTGACCTAAGCAGCTGCAGTGGGTAGCACAGACCTCCCCTGGGGCTGCCGGCCTCTCCCTGACCCCAGGTGACTTGCTGCGGTGGCTGCTCTGTGCTGTCACCTTACTTTTAGATTACTGATTGATCGAGATCAAAGCAAGGATATGAATTCCTGCCAAGCTCCCCACAGGACTGTCTCCAGCCACAGAGCGCAAGCATAAAGGCAGCTGCTCACGGGGAGGGCTGGGAGCAAGTCCCGGTGCCAAATCAGTCAAGGAAAACAGACAATGGCAATGAATTTTTTTTCAGCCAGACCTCTCACAAAGATGCTCACCAACTTTAAAAAAAAGGGCTCTGTTGCTTACAGACCTGGACCTCATTTCTCGAACACTGACTAATGACTGAATAATATCCCACACTCTTTGAGCTGTCCTACTATATGTTGCTCTGTGAAAGCCAAGGAACCTAAATACGACCACACATCTTTACAGCCTGCAAAGGGAAGAGTAGAAACAGCCATAAAGCATATTCTAGGGTGAAAAGTGGGGAAAAAAAAAAAAAAGAAAGAAAGAAACAGTGACGTCTGCTTGCTGCTTTTAATATAGTTAGGTATTTTTCCAAACTAACTTTGACAGACCATCTGTTTTGATCTGTCATACACTTATGTAGTCAGTTTCTTCTTTTTCCTAGTTCATCCAATTCTGAAGCAAGCAGCATTAATCCCCTTGGACCCATTTGGTGTCCTTTTCTATCTGAAGAGTATCAGATGATAGCTAACAGGCACCACTGCAGCTTGGACCACACCATATTGAAATATTCAAAATTTGTTTTGGATAGTGGATAAACTGAATAGCACAGATGGCTACCTGCAGCATAATAATATTTTAAATTGTGGAAATAACTCTTAGAGTGAAACCACCTTCAAGAACTATTAAAATGTATTTGTGTAACAACATTATAACAAGTAAAAATTATTTTGGCTTGGATTCTGGACACAATTAATAGACATTTTAATTTACAGACTGATTCCATTGATTTCTACTTTATTTGGGATAAATACTACAGGAGAGATTTTCTATCATAATTACAGAGACACTAAGATGAAACACAAGCCAGTCCTAAACAACAAACCTGTAGGTGTTGTGAAATGCATCAGCTTTGCTGATGTACAAGCAAAGAAGTGTTATGGTGTCTCTTGTTTCTCATAAGCAGGAAGGCAAACCCTGCTCTGCTCAAAAAAATCACATAGTAAATTCACTGGGTTATAGAAGGTTGTTAACTTCAGCTGTTTAACTGCTGCTAACATGAGCTAATTGCATTTCCATTTTCTTCCTTTCAGATAGCGGCATAAAAACCCTAGTTGCAGGGAAATGAATGGGTGCATCTTGAAACATAGGACAAATCCTTCACTTAAATATTTCACAGAAATAATACATGCAGCATCTGTCTTCAAAAGTTTTCAAAGTGCACTTCACACACAAAGTGCATATGTTGCTCTGTTTGCACCTAGTGAAGAATTTTTTTCTTATGCAACTAAAGAAGTTATTTTGCTATTCAAATATAAACATATCATAATTCATCGTGGTTTGAAAATAGTTAGCTAGCAGGCCTACTAAGTGTTGATTTTGTGAAGGAGATCATTTGGCCAAGGTTCCCCACAATTTTACTTCAGTGCACTGAACTAATTGATTTTCCTGAACATGTTGGATCTTCCCTGTAAAACTGATTCCCAAATCAGCTTTTCATGAATATCAAAACACATAAGAAATATATTTTGTGGGCACATAAAACCTCAAGACTAGGCCCAAGGTCTTTCTAATACCAGCCTCCTCATGCTGAACTCTTCACTGTTGATTATTGCTGTTGGTGGCAGTGAGTGATCAGTATAATTTTTAAAGGAAATTAGTTGACAATTTTTCCTGTTGTGTTATCATTGTTTTATTTGCCTTTCTAGGGAAGGGAACATTCAGCTGCACATCTTGTGTATGGAGCTACAGCTTATTAGGTGGAATGTGCACCTCAGACTGTTTTGTAGGTGAATACAAAGTCCAGGAGACACCAGGACAAGAGGTACCTATTTGTAGGCATTTTCTCCTGTGATTTGTATTCTGAACTTTAACTTCTGAACACAATACAAACAACACAGAATGCTCTTCTCTGAGTTTTCAAGGCTGCTTATCTTTAAATATGTTTACTTTTTTCTTCTCTTGGCAGAGGATGCATAGTTTCTCTTTCTGGGGTTGTCTACCATAGAGTAATCCTCTACCAGTAAATATTAAGGGCACAGCTTTATCAACAATTATACCAAAGCCATGTGAACAAACCAGCTACATTAGTAATACAGCATTTTTTCCTTCTACTATAACTGAAATTTCCCAACAGATTTCTGCTGCTTTGTCTGTAAGAAATGACATCACATTCCTGATTGACAACTCTGCTGGCAGAAACCTCTAGTGGAGGGATAGGCTGAAGTTAACAGAGCTACATATTTAGTAGAGTAAGACCACAACTAGGTTTGGGTCTGTGCCACAAGTCTGGGCACTCCAGCTTCCAGATTTCCACATCAATTGCCTTCCAAAGTTGTTTATTCAAGAATATAGCAGCAAGGCAAGCCAGCTGGCCTGAGACGCTGCATACCCTGGAGTCTCTGTCCTGGAATATCCCCTCAGCAGTGCTGCTCCATAAAACTGTGAGCCTGAGAAAACAGCATAAGACCTGGGAACCACGGAGGTCCGCAGTTGTTCACAAGAGCTTTGACTCTGGGAAACTGGACCTCCTACTATGACCCTCCCATCTGGCCCAGGTTCTTCAATTCAGGACAAGCAGCCTCACAGGTCTGACAGCAAGTTTGATGAAAGGTTATCTCTCACCTGCCTTTTTTTTTTTTCCAGAATATTTCATGTTGCTTCTCCCTTGTCAGTTACTTTTAATAATACTCTTGAGTACACTTCTTAAAGGCCACTTCACCATCATTATTGCCAAAGAACCATAGATCTGCTAGCAAGGGACTAGCAAAATAAAAACATACTTCTGGCCAAAAAGCTTACAGTCTGAATGAATTTTATCTCACCCTTTAGCTAGGTGAGATCTCTAAGCTCCTACAAGACTTTCCCCCCTCTCCCTACAAGCAGATCACTGAGAACCCAGAAAATACGAACCAAATATTAGTTTTCCTACCCCCTACAGTATTTTGCCATTGACACCCATGGTGCCCAGAGATGACCACCCAGACAGTAAACAACAAGACAGAACTGCCATGTCAGGTCCAAAGAATCCAAAATGAAAGGTGCATTCCTTGTGTTCTGTATCTGAAGGGGGATGAGCCCAAGTGTGAGCAATGTGACAGCTCGTGCACTGAGTGTAAGGGACCTGGGCCTCTCAACTGCACAGTCTGTCCAGCCAGCATGCAGCTCTACCTGGAGGAAAGCCGCTGCCTGCCCTGCTGCAGTGACTCTGACCTGACAGCCACTCCAGAGTGCTGTGACTGCAGTGAAACACAAGGTAAGATCATGCTGAAGATCAGTAATGGTACTGAAGGGCTTTATGACTGACTACACTGGCATTTAAAAATCAAGAGAAATAGAGAAAAAATGCGCTGCTGAGCTGCAGGCATGTAGTGTGTTTCTATTGCTCCATCACCAGAATAGGAAGGGCTTTACACAAGTAACAGCTGTCGCAACCAATGCAGGAGATGGCATGTTCTTTCTCTCACGGCTATTGTGTTAAATGGCCAGGCATTTTATAAACCAGGTGACTGGGAAGAGCTTGCTTCAATGTATAGCCATCTGAATCATTGCATTTTAAGCTCATCACGTCAAAATTCATTTGTGGGCCTGTTACTTTTCTGCTTCTTTCTGATTATTTCTAATCTAATAAAGAAGCATAGCTATTCCAGCAACTCTGCTCACATCCTTGTATCATCACAGCTACAAGAAGTGAGTTGTGGTACTGGAAGAATGAGGTATTTAGTTGAACGCATTGAAAAATGTAAGCAGGCCTAAACATTGTACTGGGTTTCTTAAGACAAATACCCCACAGCCCCCACCATATACACACACACAAATTCATTTAATCTTTACTTTTTGAACTGCTGTTGTAGATGACTGTGTGTTACGGACCACTCTACCACCCGAGAGCAAAAGCAAAACTACTTTCTTTGTTATTACCTGCATTTTGCTTCTCCTTGTCGTTGGAGCCATTATATTCATCTGGAGAAAATCACGAGTGAAAACCCAGGCTGTCAATAAAGGTGGGTATGAGAAGCTGACAAATCACTCCAAAACCTTTCCTTCCTATGTGAGCAACTACCACGATAGTCCCAGTTACCAGGAAGATCAAGTGATTGAGTATAGAGATCGAGATAATGAAGATGATGATGAAGAAGATGACATTGTATATATGGGTCAGGACGGCACAGTCTATCGCAAATTTAAATATGGACTTTTGGAGGATGACGAGGAAGATGAGCTTGAATATGATGATGAAAGTTATTCATTTAGATAACGCTTTACTATTTTATTAATTTCCTACTCTGTTGCTTTTCCTACTAAATTACAGCAATTAAGTACATAAGCATGCTGAGCTCAAGATTTTAGCTAACACTTACTGTGAGAGCAAAACGGTTTCTAAAAACATTTCTCCCTAAATATTTACATAAATCCTTGCTAGGCTTTTAAGTAGCACTCCAGATGTAGGCTGGTTGAGAGATTATGTTTCTGTGCATTTGTGTGGAGAGTAACTCCTTTCCCAATATGTATTTGTGTGCATTTTAACTAACACAAACTCTGCTTCAAACCATGCACACACACTTATTGAGAACCTTGCCAATCACTACTAGAAATGTGCAGATATAAACAAGGTGAGTGTATTTATCTACTTGATGAATGCCATTGGGATAGGCTGCCAGTAGTTTACTACTTTGTGATTATAGTTACTCAGCAATTCATAATAGAATAGACAAGTTTGCTAACTTTACTCAGATTTTCTTCATTAGTATCATCTGGTGCATCTATGTTCCTTGAAGCCAACACATTCTTTCTTGTAATCTTACAGCATACTTCCCAGTGAAATTATGAATCTATGACATGCTATTTTAAGATTTCTGATTGTTACTTTACTCTGGGTAACTATATTGTATTCACAGTTCATATGAAACATAACTAAAATATTTTATATATCAACCTCTGATTAATCTTTACTATGGTGTTTGTCAAATAATCTTTCTTTCATTGCACACACAAACCTCTGGGTTTACTGCAAAAAGAAACATGGTCTATAAGCACGGCCACAGAAAAAGACTCCTTTTGTCTTTTTAACTACCTTCTCAGTGATTCAAACACAGAACATTCATTGAAGTAGCTTTTCCATTTCTGCTGTAAATGGCTTAGGATGTTCAGACAATGGTGAAGGGAATAACTAGCACTTGTTTAGTAATGTAACTTAAAGGAACACAGCAATGTGATTTTTATTATTGTTACAGAATTATACCATACTGAAGAAAAGGATGCTTTCTTAGTCATGAAAGAATAAATTCTTTGCACAAAACTGTCTTGAAAATGTTATTTGTCAAGTTTCATTTTCTCTCAGAGTTCCTTTAGATTTCCAGCAAGAAGCTGTTCTAGAACTATAAATCAATTAATTAGATTTCGTTTCTACAACGGAATTCTATGAAAATACCTAATTTTTATGGCTCAATGCCTCAGTGGAATTTTTTTGTATTAAGTATTCCTAAAGATCTCAGGTTAGTTCCATCTGTAAATTTAAAGAAGTTTGAATTTTAACTTTGTAATCATTGCACCTTCAGTAAGAGAGAGGAATTGAAAGCCATTTGACTTCACAAAAGCCAAAACAAGGACGTATATCTATCAAAATTTATACAATAGTGAGGTACTTTGGAAAGATAAATGTTATCTGTCACTTTAATTCAAGTTCTTCTCTGGTGAAGTTCTGAAAAAACAGAAGAGGGAAAGAAGAGTGAAAAATCGGTTTGAAAGGTCATACTGAAAGAAAGAGACTGTTATCCTGCTCTCCTAAATTTGTTTGGATTAACAGCATGCTTTATTATTGTTGTGAATGGCTTATAACACAACTGGAAGAATTTGCTTTGACCTGAAACCTGTCCTCACATTTCAAAGGCTTAATCCTAGCTATGCCTAAACAGTCTGAAACCACTGTGACAGATGTAATGAACATTTTGTTTGTGGGCTCTCAGACTAACTTCATTATCATTCTGTGAAAACAGTTTATTGCATTTAGTTAAACTGAATGGTAAAAAAACGAACAACAAAAAACACAAATAAGCAATCATTTTGGAAAACCTGTTCTTTAAAAGAATTTTGTCTAAATTTGTGCAAGTCAGAGTGAAATAAATTTGCATTTCTAAGCATGTATCCAAAAAAAAAAAAAAAAAAAAAAAGACACCTCCAAATTCTTCCAATTTTTAATTTTTAAAATTTTTTTCAGAGGTTCTTTGTTCTGGTTTGGACACACCTTTTCAACCACATTTTGAGTTATCAGCTGCATATTCTTTCACTTCTGATTTCTCCTGTTCTGCAGTCTGACTCTTTCCTTCTGGCTTTCAGAGCTTGTCACACACAGTCAGGGATCTTGGATGTCAAAAGCAGAAGGGGACTTCCTTGTAGTGCTAAAGCTGCACAGGCAGAGCTAGACACAATTTTTTAGGAGAGATGAAGTGCTGGCAAATGCCCTCCACCCAAATAACTAGTGCTTTTTGGGAGGGATTCAAATGACTGCTCAAATGATAAGCCTGTTCTTAAGAAGTGGAAGTATGCATGCAGCAGCAGCATGCATGATTTTATGCTGCATGGGTAGAGTGACAAGGTGCTTGTGTTACAAAATGGCAGATAATTGCCTTGAAGGTGAACTAGTCTTCTTAGAAAAGCAGTAAAAAAATGATGAAGGATATGATATGAGGAAGAGAATCGCCTTCAAGGTTTCTTGGGGTTTTTTTTTAAGTGGAAGTTCCAAAACAGCAGTCAAGGAGATCCAAATCTTGTGACCCACAGAGCCATATCACTTTTACAGCATTCACAGTTAAAACTCCCTGATAAGAGTCCACAGGGAGACCAAGAAAAATAAAGTTTAACAGTTAATTGGCACAAGAGAAAATCGTTCATGAGTCACTCACTCTTCTAAAGAAACTTCATGGAAAATAAAGTACAACCAAGGAAGCCAGTAATAACATACAGAGAACACCACACACAAAGGAAAAACTGCTTTTCTGGATTATTTTATGCACTTGTAGTGTCTAAACCCTTTACACTCTGTCCTGAAAAGAAGAAAGAGAAATTCAAATTCACAGTTGTTCAATCCCACAAATCCTTAGTTGTCACAAAGCCAATTCTTTTCCTTTCTCCTGCCTTCTCCTCCAACCACCATAGTGAGAAAGGTGTCCCAAACGAAACAAATAGCTTTCAAAAACAAAGATGCTATGGGATGTTTTTCATTCAACTGTTCCCTAATTAATTTTCTTTTAATCAGCCTCAAATTCTTGTGTCTCTGGCAAATTTCTCTCACCCTCTGGTTTCTCAAGGTTTTTTCCATGTCAAGGCCCTTCCTTCCCCCTGCACCTCATTCTTTACTACTCTTATTCATCCGTGGACTTTAAACAGTCCTTCAGTCTTCACCAATACTTGTGTTTTCTCTGTCCTTCTAGGGAACTCTCTTTTATTACCCTCTTTCAAAAAGTCCTCATAAAAATCCCATCTCCTACATAGTTTTACCATCACTTACCTCTCATGTAAACCAGTAATTTGATTTCAAAGGAAAGCAGTGTTCTTTACCCACTCTT